AAACCAGGAGGGATGAAAGTTATTCAGAGAATTTCATAGCTGAGGGGGACATTGTAATTTTAAGGTGCAACAAACGTATCTTCACAGTGTAGACACCCAAAATAAAGTATGTCTTAGACCAGTGGTTCTCAACCTTTTTAATGCCGCGACCCCCAACCGGTCGTAAGTCGAGGACTACTCAACTGGTCGTAAGTCGAGGACTACTCAACTGGTGCAGCACCGTTTGCAGACTGGGACTTTTGGCGGGCTCAGTAGGGCAGAGACAGCCTGGACAATTCCTATTGGCTTTTGAAAGCCAATAGAATTAGACTCTATTCAAGAGAGTCTATTCTATTGGCTTTCAAAAGCCAATAGAATAAAAGGGAGGAGCACAGCTAAGGAAAAGGGGGGGGGGTGGCGGACTGCATTGTTTGGCGACCCCCGTGAAATGGTCGTTCGACCCCAAATGGGGTCCCAACCCACAGGTTGAGAACCACTGTCCTAGACAGATATATGGAAGTCTCACAGTTTTCAAAGTGATTCATGTTTACCCGTGAAATGTTAAAAAAGACACAATTTATTTGCCTGTAATGTACATCAAAAATATTTATGAGATGAGACTGAAATTAATATTATCAAGGCATGATTCTGTCACAGTAAGACAATGTAGTATTAGTATTCCTGGAGATAAGGCCACATTTTGGGCTACCCAGGTCCTCCAAAAGAGCCATTTTGTAATGGCCTTCACAAGCTTTCAATTTGCCCACTCAGTCAAAAAAAATTCCCTAGGGAGAGACTTTGTGCTACATATCAACATTTCTGGAAATGGGGCAGATCCATGCTGACTGTAGCCGTGAGGATGACTGGTCTTTTATTCTGCAGAAGTTAGAAGAAGGTTTGTTTGTTTTTTGCTGTCAATTTTTTTATTCAAACAGTTAAAATACAAAACTCAAAAAAGGAAACAAAAAAAGTGAGAAGAACTTTTAACAATTGCCACTTATACTCCAAAAAATACCTCATCATATGAATGTCATTGTTTTGGGGTATCTGACCTGAACATAAGTCAGTGTCTGCAGACAAAGTGGGAAAAAATTCAAAACATCCCACTGGCCAGGATAAAACCTAATCAGTTGTCTCAACTTATTATCACTTTTAGTACCTCAAAAATACATTTGGTTAGTAAAAGATAAATTTTCTGGAATTGATCCCTTGATGGAAGTATTAATCACTTTAACTGGAATTATGACTCTGGTCACAAAACTTTCTTTCTCCAGTTGTACTTGTAGAGATGAAACATCTCCACTGAGATTCTCTTTCCTGCTATAATTATCAAAATTATGGTTGATTTATTTTATTTCCAAAGAAGCCCATGGGATGTCCCTCCACCTCCCTCTCCCGTCATCTTTGTAATCATGGCAAAGAATGCTTATACTTTCCCAACCAAGCAAACATGATAAATACATTAGTCCACAACACTTCGTGTTAACCAAAGTTTCAAAATACCTCCAGCTCTGTGGTGATCATACAATCAGAATCCTATAGGCCAGATTATGTAAGACTGAAATTTAATGCTGTACCTTTAATGTGCCAGACTGCATTTAATCTCCTTTGACAGTGTGGCTATGCTCTTTGGTGAGAGAATTTTGCTTCTCCAGAAGGCAACTCTGAGAACAAAGAAAGTGGCACCTGTCTAAGAGAACAGATCTCCATCATGATGTCTAAAATGGTGCTACTGCTGCTTCTCCTTGTGTCTCATTTTCCTTGTGCAAAATTGTTGATGAATTGTCCATTTGGTATGTTAAAAGAGAACTTTGTTTTCAATTTCTACAAACCAGGAGATTTCCTGATAAATGGAATAGTATCTACATCTGCTAGAAATTATGCACCATATATTTTCATCCAGACTCCCTTCCACAGATATTCAAGGTATTTAACTCTGGTGTTTAATTTTGTCCTTTCTACTGTCTTTTTTTTTTTTTAGCAGAGAAAGATTCCCATGTCCTGATTCTTTGTTATTATTCATCATGTCACAGTTTTCCTCCTTATCTGTTTTAAGAAAAAGGCTTTCCCCACTCTATTCACATCATGCATGCTTTAAAAATTAGAATTTGAGAGGGAGGGTGGCCATAAATGTTCCATGTTCTGATGCTATGAAAGTTCCATCACCTTGAAAAAAAATTCAAATTACAGAAAAAGCCATTTCAATTGTTCCTAAGAAAAGGTGAATTTTGCTAAGCAGTCTTTTTATATTCCTTAGGGTAGAAATGTATTCCTGATTTGACAAGGAAAATTTAGAGCTGTGCAATCCTGCTTTTATAATATTATCTATGTATTTAATATCAATTGTCAATCAGCTAGTAACTTCAATCACTGATCAGCTAAAAAGCAAACCAGCTACCGGTAATTTAATTAATATTAAAAATAAAATGACATCATCTCATAGTGATTCTCACAGAGTATGAAGAAAATTTACTAAATAATTGAAACAAATATTATCCCAGAATTACAAAAGCAGTGCAAAACTAAGTGATTAAGATTACTTATATCCTACAAATATATTAATAGTGATAGAAACACAAATAGCCATCTACTGTTCTAAAGTAACAAAATAATATAGGATAGTATTCTTTAATATTTACAATTTGAAAAGAAGATAAAATGAAAAAGTAAATATTACTCAATGCCAAAGGAATATTTAACAGTAAAAAGTGCAATGCTAATTGACTAAATGGATGGCCAGACATAATAGCTAACAACACAGTGCAAGTATATAAATCCAGGATTTGTCTAAGTAACTGATTCTTAGAGAGTTCCTTTTTAATTCTGCTGACTGGTACACAAAAGTTAGAAACATTATGTTACTATAATATAAGCATCAGAAAATGTCGAAGTGATCAGCATACAGAGAATATATGAAGCTTTAGAGAGATGAAACACATTTGAATCCTTCTACGAAATGAGGAATAAAGGGCAATAATGTTGCAGGGTTTCAAATTCCCTTTGGGAATTTGGGCGGCATATAAATAAAATTAAATACAATACAAAATACAAATACAATACAAATCACAAAGATTTATTCTGGATAGTAGGGGTGTGGTGGTTAAGACACTGGACTTGTTGATCAGAAGATTGGCAGTTCGAGACCCAAGCGCCATATGATGGGGTGAGCACCCATTCCTACCCCAGGTCTGCCAACCTAGCAGTTCGAAAACATGCAAACGCAAGTACATAAATAGGTATCACTTCATTGGGATGGTAACAGTATTCCATGCACCTTAGTGTATAGTCATGCTGGCCACATGATCACAGAAGTGTCTTTGGACAATGCTGACTCCCTTGGCTAGGAAATGGAGATGAGCACCACGTCCTAGAGTTGGTCATAACCAGACAGGAGAAACCTTTACCTTTACCTTTTTATTCTGGATAATGTTTTTCCCTTTTCTTACATCAAGAATATTATTATTATTATTATTTTTAAAATTTATAAGCCGCCCCACTCCCGAAGGACTCTGGGCGGCTAACAATAAAAAACACATAAAACATAACAAACAACAATACAAAAACAATCATCCAGGGGTAAGGTTTTATAAACCCCAGGCCTGCCGGAAAAGCCAGGTCTTAAGTAGCTTACGGAAGACCAATAGGGTGGGAGCGGTCCTAATCTCCGGGGGGAGCTGATTCCAAAGCGTGGGCGCCATCACAGAGAAGGCCCTCCTCCGCGGCCCCGCCAAATGGCACTGCTTGGCCGACGGGGCCCGAAGGAGGCCCAGCCTGTGGATCTAACCGGACATAGGGAACTATGAGGTAGTAGGCGGTCTCGCAAATAGCCTGGCCCTGAGCCATATAGGGCTTTAAAGGTAATGACCAACACCTTGAATTGGACCCGGAGACCAATAGGCAACCAGTGCAGTTCACGGAGGATAGGTGTAATGTGGGTGTATCGAGGAGCACCCACTATCACTCGCGCGGCTGCATTCTGGACCAACTGTAGTCTCCGAATACTTTTCAAGGGTAGCCCCATGTAGAGCGCATTGCAGTAGTCCAAACGTGAGGTGACAAGGGCGTGAGTGACTGTAAGGAGAGCCTCCCGATCCAGGTAGGGTCGCAACTGGTGCAACAGGCGAACTTGTGCAAAGGTCCTCCCAGCCACAGCCGTCAATTGATGTTCCACATTCAGCTGTGGATCAAGGAGGACACCCAAGTTGCGAACCCGCTCTGAAGGGGGTATATTTTCCCCCGCAAGAGTCAACACTGGACAGTCGACATGATCCTTGGGAGGCAACATCCAAAGCCACTCGGTCTTGTCAGGATTGAGCCTGAGTCTGTTAACCCCCATCCAGACCCTCAGCAAAGAAAAAGCTCTTTAGTATGCCAAACTGAATCCCTTTCTAGTCTTAGAAACTTTTAGCTGCCTCAGATAGGGCACAGGAATTACTAGATAACCTTAACTATTGATGATGATAATAATGTTATTAAAGGCCATCGACTCATTGTTGACTCTTCAAAACCACACAGATTGCCCTTCTTCAAAATGATATATATATTTTTTAGTTTTTCCAATATGGAAATTAGATACACATTTATTAAAAAGGAAACTTGGTGCAGTCCATTCAGGAACATTGTAGTTTAGGGTATACAGCTATAGTGGCCCAGTGGTTAGAATGCAATATTGCAGGCTACTTCTGCTGGCTGCTGGCAGTTTGGCAGTTCAAGTCCCACTGGCTCAAGGTTGACTCAGTTTTCCATCCTTCTGAGGTCAGTAAAATGAGGATCCAGGTTATTGAGGGGTGATATGCTGATTCTGTAAACTGATTAGAGAGGGCTATAAAGCACTATGAAGCAGTTTATAAGCCTAAGTGCTATTGTTATAGAGCAAAATCAGCCACCCTCCTTAAATGAGGGGGAACATTGAAGACATTTTTGAATGTAGAAAAAATCGCCTACATGAGAAAAACAATTTAGAAACTAAGATAAAAATCCAAACTGAGAGTGAAGGCATATTAATATCTCATAACTTGCAGTGAGCATCGGACCTGGTGGCACGTCCTGCCCTTCTTCTTTGCCATTCGTGAGATCAATCGGAATCCAAGGCTGTTACCGAATATCACTCTGGGCTACAACATCTATGATAACTTTTTCAATGGAAGAATGACATATGAGTCCATGCTGGATTTTCTTTCTACAGGGAATGAGACTATCCCAAATTACAGATGTGGAAGGCAAAAACATATTTTGGCTGTGCTTGAAGGGACTGATTCTATGCTCTTTAATCATGTTTCAACTATGCTGGGCATTTACAAAATCCCACAGGTATGAATGGAAGTTCAAGCTAGTTTCCCTGGGTATGTTCTGTGGATAATCTAAAAGGTGGCTATGATACATATTAAAAAATAAATGAAGTCAGGATAAAAAGAACCCTATAATAAGAATTTCCCCATTATTTATTCAAATAATTCTATATTCCTTGTGGTATCGGTTTACAGCATTGCTTTTGAAAGCTAGTCTGGATTTTGAAAATTTCTCATTTTTTGCTATTGAATTGCATTCAAACTAAGCCTGGAACCCACCCTCTGAATGAAATACCTACCCCACTTGTTAATCTTTCTCCTGTCTCTTCTTCCAGTCTTCCACTCACTGCAGTCTTCCTTCCAATACAAAATAATTATTTGTCAAAATCCATCCAGATTTAAAGAAACTCAAAGAGTGTAATGGTTGAAAAGGGGAGTGTCAGACTGCCCACAACTTGAAGCTATAGATAAAAATGATCCTTGTCTGTCTGTTTGATGGGAAAGGTATAGCTTTATTAGAAATCAAATGTATTGCAACATTGGAAAGCCAGAACTGAAAATTGTGCTCCAAATTCCTTCCCTTAACGGTCTCTCATTGCCCAGTGCAGTGTAACCAATTGGATTCAGGCAAGATGTTTTAATAACGGTCAGTCCAAGTACAGTTTCATATGTGGTATCTCCTTCTTCCAACTGGGTGACCTTAAGGCATTGTCTCCAGGAGATACAGCACTTACTTTCATTTTCCAAAGTATTCCCCCCTTCAGTCCCCCTCCCCCAGTTCATGGCAGTCTGTCACTGCATAGCAGCAAAGCACAAGCAAGCATAAAGTGCAGCTGACAGAAAGAAACGGGGGAAATGACTAGCTGGACAGATGTTACCATAATATCTTGTCTGTTCTCTCCACCCAATCAAAGTATAAACTTAAGAGGGTTTAAAAATGTTACATTTCCCCTTCCTTCAACATGGAGGGGAATCAGATAAGAGATTAAGATTATTAACAGAGAAAAGTTCTTAAAGCAGAAAGAGCACATGTCATGGTTGAAAATCGAGGGCAGAGAGAAAGAATTTTCCTGCTTAGGGGAAAGGGTCCTCAGATATCGACAGTCCTTTTTGTCTGTAAGAGAAAGATAATCAACCCTTTTTCTGTTACTTCCTAGATCAACTATGGAGTCATCAGCCACATTCCTGAGCAGAAACATCATTTCCCTTTTTTCTACCGGTTGAGTCCAAAACAAGAACCTCCACACTTGGCAATTGTCAAGTTGCTCCTGTGTTTCCGATGGACGTGGATTGGCCTCTTTGTCCCAGACAATGAAAACGGGGAAAAGTTCAGAAATTCCTTTGTGACTGCAGTCATAAAGAAAGGGGTTTGTGTTGCTTTCTCAGAAAACATCCCACAGAATGATGAAGAGGAACAAATGAGGAAACTTCTTCATTTTATCCCTAAGGAAGTAAAAGTTATTGTATGTCATTTGGATTTAAAATCTGCGATAATCCTAACCTCAGCAATATCAAAATTTGAGCAGAATCAAAAAGGGTTTGGGAGGAAAGTGTGGATTGCCACCGTTTTGAGTGACAGAAGCGTGAGATATTTTTATGAATTCATTAACTTGCAGCATAAACATCTTCTATTATCTTTCTTATCCCAGGGAAAAAGGAGAACACAAAATTATGATTTAAAAACATCTTTTCTTCCTATAAAACAGTTTGTAATTTCATCATTTTGGGTCTCCTATCCAAGCCCTGTGTTATCTAAAAAGTTTTGGGTAAGGTTCATTGAAAGAGAGAAATGGAAAATCCTATCCCAGGATATGGTTGCAAATATCCTGACTCAGGATGGCTCTAGCATTTCCACTGCAATTCATGTTATCTCTCATATCCTCAGCGTTGCTTCTTCCTCCCAAATGATCAGGAGAAGAATGAGGGTTGGAAACCATCAGACATCTCTGAAAGTACAGCCGTGGCAGGTGAGCTTTTCCCTTTGAAGTTCCTCTGATAAAACCCCTTATCTATTGGAATAGGGAAGGCTACAAATGGGTGGGTATGCCCAAAAGCAGTTGCCCAGTTTCTAGTGTTAGTTTTCACCATGCTGGAGGCTTAGAGAAAGAGAATATGAAGGAGACGCTGTTGCTGAATAGTGCTTATTGAACCCTTTGTCCATAATGCCATCTCCAACCTCTCTCTTGTTCATCACACATTGAGTTTGTAAACCAGAGAGTTTATTTCCATTTGTGCTTCTGTCACCACAACGAGTAAAATCTATGTCCCATCTGAGCCTCTTTAGAGGACAGAGAGGTCAGTTCACCTGCATCTGATTGTGGATTCCAAATCATAACTGGCACCTACCACCATTTTCTTCTGCATTTGCCCCTTCACTCTCACCATGAAAGACTGAGTCCCAAGACTCTTCCCTGATTTCTTTCCCTCCATTACAAAATTAACCTATAATGTGGAACTCCATCAATACAACTCCACCCCTTCTATTTCCCAGCATCATCAGTTGCTTTCATAAAGCAATGAGGAATTGAAGCTTCAGAACCCAGGAGATGGGGGGGGGGGGAATCACAGGCATGAAATAGCCTACCTGCATTGCCATTGTTTTTACATTCTTCCAACGAAAAGCCCCTGTTGTGCTCCTGAATACCCAATGTGTCAGAATGGAAGCAAATTCTCCATTTCTACTATCTTTCCCGTCAGTGGGAAAAGTATGCTGCAATCACAGCAGAATAGTAGATACAGAGAGGTCTGACAGAATTATCCTCTTTTACCTCTAGGATCTTAGAAGTAGCAGGCCTGAGTTATGAACCAAGGAGCATGAGAAAGAATGAAAGAGGGGGAGGGAGGGAGGGAAGGAGGGAGGGAGGGAGGGAGAGCATATACTTAACTTCATTCTGCCATCCAATATTTGCAGGCACAGCTTTTAATTGTTTCAGGTGGGAACAGGAAACGTAAGGGGTAATTCTCCTGATTTTTTCAGGTTTATAACATTTTATTGGATTATAAAATAAAATATAAAAATACAAAAACATATAGTAGGACTCAGTGGGGAAGAAAAGGGGAAAAGGAAGTGAGGGGGAGAAGGGGAAAAAGCAGACTTCCTCTGTTGCAGTAGAATAAAACATTAACTTCGAACCTCCATTTTTTACTTTTCCAAAGTAGTATAAACTAGCTATTTCTATAACAACAAATCAATCTGATCAGTACATTCCAAGATCAAAGTTTCATTTTTTCCACCTCATGCACAAAATTCAAAAGCAGTCTCCATGTGGAAACAAAAGTATTTATGTTCTTTTCTTTAATCAAAATAGTCAATTTAGCCATCTCTGTCAACTCCATTGGCTTCTGTAGCCTTTCATCCATAGTGGGAATCAAAATGTCCCTCCATTTTTGTGCATACAATAGTCTTGCTGCCATTGACATATATAGGATCAAAGTCCCAAATGTTTTTTTCTAAGTCTTTTTCCATTATGCCCACAATTAGAGTTTCTGGTTTCATCTTTATCTTTACTTAAGAATTTTCTGCATTAAAGTATGAATCCTACTCCAATATTTCTTTGCTTTATCGCAAAAATTCTCCTGATTTTTAATGTGTGTGTGTGTGTGTGTGTGTGTGTGTGTGTGTGTGTGCTTTAGCTTCATCCTATTCTCAGAAATTTCCAGCTTTACAATCTTTCTGTGGATGGTGTTTATTTGGATGAAAATGGAATTCCTATTGCTGAATTTGATATTATGAACTGGGCAGTATTTCCTAACAAGTCCTCTGCTGGAGTGAAGATTGGAAATACAGAAAGAGATGCATCTTTGGAAGTCAAGCTCTCCATTGATCACAATGCCATCATATGGCCAACGACATTTAACCAGGTGGATTTGACTGATTGTTTAGAGCAAGGGTCTCTGACCTTGGCAACTTTAAGATTTGTGGACTTCAACTCCCAGAATTCCTCAGCCAGCATAAATAAAAAGAGAAGAGTGAAATATAACTATATATAGTATTACCATTTAACAGGTTTCACACTTCCTTGGGATCCAAAAGCATGAAGGCAGGCACATTTGAGGGCCTTCCATAAGGCTGGCAGGGTTGTGGTTAATCCCACCTCAGGTAGATTGATGTTCCAGTGGGCAGGTATATGTAACTGTATGGAGGTATGGTCTCAGATAACCTGGCTTCATGCCATGTATGGATTTAAAGTCATAGACAGCACATTGAATTAGACCTGGAACCAAACTGGCAGCCAATGCTGCTCAATGAAATCATGGATAGGATGCATAGTTTTCAAATTTCCTGTCCTGCTGCATTTTGTACCAGATGAAACTTCCACATAATGTTCAAGAGCAGCCTCATGTACAGCTCATTAGAATAGTCCATTTGGAAAGTGACTAGGGCAGATATGGTTAAGCATATGGCCTTCCTGATCCAGGAATGGGTGGAATTGGCACACAAACTAAACTGTGCAAAGACACTCCTAGCCACAATGGCTATTTCCTTTCTGAGCAGGAGTTGAGCATCCAGAAAGACCTCCAAATTGTATACCAGGTCTGTTTAGAATGGTACAGCCCAAACCTAGCCCAGAAATGGTAAATCTCTGGGTCTATAAATGTACTAGAACTCAAAGCTATTCAACCATTCAGGATTGATTTGAAGTCTATTGTTCCCCATCAAGATCCCCACAAACTCCAGGCACTGAGAGATCATGATATAACTCACCAGGGATGGAGATCTATAACTCATTATCATCACCATTTTGGTGGTACTTTACCTAAAAGCTTACAAGCCTTGCCACTCTGATGCTTGGAAAGGGATAGGGTAAAAGAAACACTCCTATTTCTCCTGGACCTTCCAAACAACTACTGTTGATTGAGGAGTGCCAAAATTGTTCTGTAAAGTATCTTTCAGCCTTTAGGGAAATAAGACATTGAGCAAATCCCTTTGAAGGAGGAAGAAATAGAAGCAGGCAGAAGTAGGCAGAGAGAGTTGGCCATTGGCCATTAAAGCTGCAGCTGATGGGACTTGATGTCCAAACCACATCTTCTTAGAACAGAAAGCTAAAGATGCCTACTTTACATGAATGTTTTGGAGTTAATTTTGGAGTCACATCCTGCTAAAATAGGACTACTTCTGGGTATTCTTTAGAAAAAGAAGAAAATTATTTTTTGAAAAAAAAACCCACTATATTTTCAAAATATAATCAGGAGGGCATCATTGGCATATAAAATTACAGCATTTGATAAGTTTAGATAAAGTACCATTTTAAGTTAAGAAAAATTAAAATTCTTGGAAGATCCTGAAAGACTATTTCTGCCAAGAACCAAGTTTAGTACAAGCTCTTCAGTGCTCATTCATTCACTCTATTAAAGCCTTCCTTAGATTTGATTACTTTTAGTTCAAATGACTTTCTAACTGAGTATATTGGGTTTTGTGAATATGTATAATGTTTGTGTCCCATCTAGGAAATCTATGGTTTAGCACTGGTAATGGATTTCCATTCATTTAACTGGAACACAGACATTTTGGGTGCTAGTTTTGGGCAGTTTCCAAATGTGATATATAATAAACTCCTAAAATTGGTTAACCAGGATATTCTTTATTTATACAGGTGCCAATTTCTAGGTGTACTCCAAGTTGTCTCCCAGGGTACAATAAACTGCTGAGAGAGGGAGCACCAGTTTGCTGTTATGACTGTTCTCCCTGTTTGGAAGGAACAATCTCCACAAAGGAAGGTAGGTGGCTCAGAAACAAAGAAGGAGCACTACACAAATACATGAGGTCTCATATGCTTTTCATCTAAGCTTGTCAAAGACTTCCATGTTCTGAAGGACCTAAATTGCTACTATCTTGCCAGTTTCCTCTCCCACAAAATGCCTCAGAAACAGACTTTTGTGTTGGAGAGGGGTTTTGGCATACCTGAATGGGAAAATGAGTGCAGGCAATGAGACAATTAAAATAAATAATTAATGTTCTAGCTATATCACACTACAACATTGTGGTTGCTCGGTCATAAGGAGATATGTGCTACTAGCTTCATTAGTTGCTTATGTTTTTCAGATGTGGTTCATTGTGAAAAGTGTCCAGATAATCAGCATTCCAATAACAAGCGAGATAAATGTGTCCCCAAAGTTACAACTTTCCTGTCCTATAAAGAAATATTGGGTCTCATGCTGGCTCTCCTTGCCATTGCTTTATCTGTGACTACAGCCTTTGTTCTGGGAATCTTCATTCAATACCGAGAAACACCCATAGTCAAAGCCAATAATCGGGACCTCACCTACATTCTTTTGATTGCCCTCATGCTTTCCTTCTTGACCACCCTTCTATTCATTGGCCGCCCCAAGAAAGTGACCTGCCTTCTTCAACAAATCTCCTTCAGTATAGTTTTCTCAATTGCCATATCTTGCTTGCTAGCTAAGACCATTGTGGTGGTTGTGGCTTTTCTAGCCACAAAGCCAGGCAGTAGAATGAAGAAATGGCTGGGGAAAACTCTGGCCAACTCCATTGTCTTGTTTTGCTCTGGGGTTCAGGTAGGCATCTGCTTTATATGGCTGGGAAACTCTCCCCCATTTCCAGATTCTGATCTACATTCCCAACCAGGACAGATCCTGCTGCAATGCAATGTAGGTTCAGTCACCATGTTCTATTCTGCCCTTGGCTATTTGGGCTTTCTGGCTGCCATTTGCTTTATTGCAGCTTTCCTTGCCCGAAAGGTGCCAGGGACCTTCAATGAAGCCAAGCTGATCACCTTCAGCATGTTGATTTTCTGCAGTGTTTGGGTCTCCTTTGTCCCCACTTACTTGAGCACCAAAGGGAAATACATGGTAGCTGTGCAGATCTTTTCCATTCTAGCCTCTAGTATGGGCTTACTGGGCTGCATCTTTGTCCCAAAATGCTATATCATTATTCTTAGCCCTGATCTAAACATGAAGGCACATCTGGTGATGAAAACCTAGGAGGGCTTCTGATCTTGGCACTCTATTGAGAGGAGGACAGAATCTTTAGAAATATAAAATAAGCTACCTTGGAACTAGAATCTACAAGGAAGTCTCACTTTCTTTTATGTCAGCCTTGATTTAGACCTAATAAATGCAACTGAGGTAGCAAGAAGCCATTAAAAAATCCTTATAGATAATGTGTACAATTTCAATTGTTAATTTGAAAAAAATGCTAACATGAAGGCACTACTCCCAACTTATGGTGGTTTAAATGAGATAGAACATTTTTTACATGGACAGAAAGAAGACCAGCTGATTTTCACTGGGAAGCTGTATTATTCTCTTGTAGTAATAAATAATCTTTGACCAGCTAAACATTTATTGAATTTATTACACCACAAGTTTCTTTTAAGTGTTTCATTCCCAATTATTTATGCCTCAAATTCAGTTCTCAGACAATTAATCAGAAACATTAGAATAAGTTGTTTCATTCAAAGTCAAACTCAATGAATTATATAGGAATTTTGTAATTTAAAGTTATTTTAATACTCGAGGTTTTACTTTTATGCAATACTGTGTACTAAGGGAATCCTTTATGGCAGGGCTTTTCAACCCATGGTATGCATACCATCAGTGGTACATGAGCACCTGGCTGGTGATACAGGTAGGATGGGTTGAATAGCACTGTAAAAAAATGCAAAAAAAAAAAAGTAAAAAAAAGTGTAAAAGTGGATGAGGTGAAGTGGTGGCAGCGCCACACAGGCTTGTGGCAATCAGCTGGAACTGCACATTGCCTGGGTTCTACTGAGAACCCAGGATCAAAGTGCACAGCTCCAGCTGATTGGCGGCGGCCTTGGGGATAGCAGGAAGCCTCATGCAGTCTTCAGTGGAGATTCCACTGGAGCTGCATGACACATTGCCTGGGTCCGTGGTGGCGAACACCTGCTGAAGCCGCACAGGGTAAGGTTGCCACTCCCACCCCCACCAAAATGCCCTCACCACCCCAAGCGTTTTTTTTACTAACCTGAATTTCAGCTGCATTCCCTTTCTCCTGTCCTTCTCAGCCTTCGCTGTGTGTTTGTGAGACAAAAAAAAAAGTTCCATGAGATTTTCTAACTTCTCGCGAGATCTCACGAGAAGTTAGAATGTCTCATGGAACTTTTTTTTCTTTTTTACCGATAGTCCCACAAACACATGGCGAAGGCTGAAAAGCAAATGTAGAAACAGAATGCAGCTGAAAGCAGGTGAGTAAAAAATGCTTGGGGGAGGCGAGGGCATCTGGTTGGGGGTGGGGGCACCAACCTTACCCTGCATGGTGGTGGGAGGGTTAACAGAGGGCATGGGGGGGGGCAGGAGGAGCTGCGCAAAGTAGGTGGAGGGGAGGCCAGGCAGATTGCAGGCACCGGCAGTGGTGGCAGTGCAGCACAGAAGCCGAACACATGCACAAATGGGACAGATTCCGAGTGCCTTCCGAGCGCCCTGCTCGGGACTTCTGAGTGACTTTTGAGCACCCTGCTTGGGGCTTCCAAGCACTCCATGTGGGTGCTTCTGAGCCAGATCAGCTGTAGCTGCACACAACAAGCCTGGCTTCCGAGTACCCCACGTGCCCCGTCCTTCAGTCAAGGTTGCTAACGAAGCGCAGGTGGCCCAAACAGCCGTGCACTCTCACATCTGAGCCCAACACATGGGCCCCTCTTTTCCCAGTTGTGCTTACAGTCAGAGATCAGGTGTCACACAGAGCCAGGCACAAGATCTTCTCCCTCCAACCGTGGAAGAGGGCCACCCAGAACAAGGAGGTTGGCACCAGCCCACAGAGATGCTGCCAGGGATACCTGCAGCCTCACGCAGGCTGCACTGACAGTGGCCAGAGTCCAACCCCTCGCAAGAAGGCAGAGAGGCAGCTGGCTGCTTTTCCCTGCTGCAAATGGAAATGGGAGGTGTTCGACTTCAGGCACCAAAGCTAAGGAACTGCCTTCCTACCATACTTCCATGTTATTCACCTCTCTGCTTTGTTCCACAGGAGAAATCTCTGTCTTTGCAAGAGAGGCAGAAGTGATCGCCCTTTTGCAAGCAGGAAATCTTGTGGGTCTCCTCGCGAGGAAGGAAATCCCAGATGCGGGGCAAGCCAGGGAAAGAGTATGTGTGTGGGGGGGAAATCCCCAGCTACAATTCCCATGCAAGATTTCCTGCTTTCAACCCAGGGTGGGGCTGCAGGCAAGGAAAGGAAACCCCTTCTTGGAGCATCTGGGATGGAGAAACCCCCTGCCTCATCGCCTTCCTTCTCCTTTTTTTCTACAAGGGGGGAAGGAGGAAGGTGGGGCGCAGAAGCAGCCAGCAAGATTGTGGCCTAGCCCAGAGAAGGGGAAGGAAGAGCTGGTTGGAGAATGCATTTTTCTACCCCCAGAGGGAGAAGCTCTCCTTGCCTACCCACTGCCCTGGCAGCGCCGCACAAAGCTACCAGCCACATGACACGCCTGGCTGCAGCAGGTCAAGGGGCAACCCCAGGCAAAGGAGGGGCACACATGCGGCCACCTTCAAGCATGCACTCTCCTCTGCCTCTGCGCGCGCACAGGTAGGGCCGTGATGTCACCGGTTCACTTTGCCCCTGGTCACTCCGTGTGGTGAGAATGCTCCATTGCCTGCCAAAACCAGGCTGGGGTCTGGGCGGTGTAGTTCAGGAGAATGGAAGGGAGGGAGGTACAATGGAAAGGAGGCAGGGACAAAGAGGGAGGGAAGGAAGAAAGGAAGGAAGGAAGGTACAATGGGAGAGAGGGAGGGAAGGAAGGCACCCACCCTAGTCCCACCCCCTCCACCAGAAACCCACGATTTCCCCCCCCACAGGCACCCCACAACCTGAGTGATGAGCTGGCCACCCCCCCAGCCATTGATTTTGCTTGTCAAAAAGTTGCAAAAGTTGATCTCATGACCCTGGGATACTGAATGTCATAAGTATGAATCAGTTGCCAAGCATCTGAATGTAAATCACATGACCCTGGGGATCCTGCAATAGTCATAAGTGTGAAAAATGGTCATAAGTCACTTTTTCAGTGCTGTTATAACTTTGAACAGTCACTAAGCGAATTGTTGTAAGTCGAGGACTGCCTGTACTTTATCATTTTTTTCTTTTTTGGGGGGGGGTCAAGTTTTTGACACCTTGCTGGGCGACTGGTGGTACTCGGATATTGCCTTCTCCTAAAAGTGGTACAATGGATGAAAAATTGAAAAGCCCTGCTTTATGGGATTTTTTGAAACAATCTAAGATTATTTTCTTTTTTAAGTCAGCTAAATATTCCAAGAATTTGGCATCTTATAGGGCCATTTCACTTCTTCATATCACTATAAATTATACTGAACTGTACAATATACTGAATTTATTAAAACAGATTATTGGTAAAATTTATTCATATGGAGAATAAAGTCTTGCTGAAGAAGACTCTTGGAGTCCCTTGGACTGCAAGGCGTTCAAACCGGTCAGTCCTAGAAGAGATCAACCCCGACTGCTCTTTAGAAGGCCAGATCCTGAAGTTGAAACTCAAATACTTTGGCCACCTAATGAGAAGGAAGGACTCACTGGAGAAGGGCCTAATGCTGGGAAAGATTGAGGGCAATAGAAGAAGGGGACGACAGAGAATGAGATGGCTGGATGGAGTCACTGAAGCAGTAGGTGTGAACTTAAATGGACTCCAGAAGATGGTAGAGGACAGGAAGACCTGGAGGAACATTGTCCATGGGGTCGCGATGGGTCGGACACGACTTCGCAGTTAACAACAACAAATTCATATGGATTAATCTGGATTTTTCTCAAATTTAAATATATCTACCTCTATCAGGAAATTGTTAGAACCAGTGCTTTTTTTCTAAAAAAAAAAAAAAAGGTGCCAGAACTCACATACATCAAACAATCTGCCTTGCCTACCCTACAAGGTTTCATCCAAAAAAGGTGCTGGAACTCCGTTCTGGGCATTGTATGAGAAAAAAAGCCCTGGTTAGAACATAGAATCATAGAACTGGAAGGGAGCTCAAAGGTCTTCTATTTCAACCCCCTTCTCAAAGCGGCACCCTTATACATCCCAATCAAATTGTTGTCCAGTCTATTTTTGAAAACCTCCAATGATGGAGCACCCATACTTTAGGAATCGAGCTAATCCACTGATTAATTATTCTCATAATTAATCACAAATATTAATATATTTTCTGAAAACAATTTGCACTATGGATAGAGTAGTTTTGCTGAAACTAAATTTGATAAGAGATGACTGTTCCTAATGAGAGCTTGGTACCTTTTTCATTTAATATCTTTGTCTTTTGAGCTTCTGTTGTGGGGTGACTATTAAATTTGACTTAGATATTTGCTCCTGGATTTTTTTTAAAAAATCTGTCTTTTATTTCCTCCCATTTTTTCTGCATATGATCTAGTTTATTTTCTCATTGTTAATTTGAATATAATGTATGCTGCTATGAAGGCAGTAATCTCAATCATGGAGTTTTGAATGAGGCAGAAAAGTTGAAAGCACTGCCTTTTTCATTAAAAAAAACAAAAACAAAGACCAGTTCATTTCCAGAATGAAGATGTAATCCTCTTTTGTAAAACTAAGGAATCCTTTGGCAGCTAAATCTCTACTTGAGTTATTGTGGCATAAGTAGCCTTGATAGCTAATTTAGTGTAGTGGTTATGGCACAAGGTAAGGAACCAGGAGACCATAAGTTCTATTAGTTCTACTAGTGCCTTAGGCACAAATCCAGGTAGGAAACCTTTTGCCAGTTCCTCTCTTTGAAGAAGAAGAGGATACTAGAAATCACTTCCAAAAAGCTTGCCAAGAATATTCTGATTGAAAACCATGCAAAAACCCATCCCCCAAACCCACAACCCACAACCAACCCACAACAAAATTCCTCTCATTCTCAGTATTTCTTTTTGAAGCACATATTCAGATTCAGTTTTAAGTAAATTAATTACAAGCCTATGATTATGAGAAGCAGTTTTATTCCCAGTCACCTTGAGTAATTTATAGAAGAAT